TGTCACAAAATAACAATACTGCAAAATGGCGTACCTAACCACAGGCACACCTCTCCTAGTCCAAAAGTCAATCTGGCGGCCTCTGGACTTGAGAATCCCGTGATTAAATACAACTCAGAGTAAGGGGAAATAACTCAAAAGTCTTACGACTATTGGTTGAGGGTCAGTCAAGGATCCTCACGGTCGCAAGTCCATTGGTTGAGGTTCTGCCAGGCATTAAACTTACCATCACATGATGTGACAGCGTTCAGTTGACCGGGTTGTACCAGTGAACTGACAATTCTCCCAAGGACAAATACATAACTCAGGAGATTAAATATACATAAAGCCAAACAGACCTAAGTAGGTCACACCGACTAGAGATAAAAATCGTTAGTGTTATATCTGAGCCCAGTTTAAAGCAATCGCTGTTGTCTCAATCTGGCAAGTGTCCGTTCGGGGAAACGGCATTCGGGCAAGTGTCCATTCGGGAAATCGGCCTTCGGGAAAACGGCATTTGGGCAAGTGTCCATTCGGGAATTTGTCGTAGACCCGGTGTTAAGTCGTGTGGTGTGGTGTCATGTCGTGTGGTGTGGTGTGGTGTCATGTCGTGTGGTGTGGTGTGGTGTCATGTCATGTGGTGTGGTGTCATGTCGTGTGGTGTGGTGTGGTGTCATGTCGTGTCGTGTGGTGTCATGTCGTGTGGTGTGGTGTGGTGTCATGTCGTGTGGTGTGGTGTGGTGTCATGTCGTGTGGTGTGGTGTGGTGTCATGTCGTGTCGTGTGGTGTGGTGTCATGTCGTGTGGTGTGGTGTCATGTCGTGTGGTGTGGTGTCATGTCGTGTGGTGTGGTGTCATGTCGTGTGGTGTGGTGTGGTGTCATGTCGTGTGGTGTCATGTCGTGTGGTGTGGTGTCATGTCGTGTGGTGTGGTGTCATGTGGTGTGGTGTGGTGTCATGTCGTGTGGTGTGGTGTCATGTCGTGTGGTGTGGTGTCATGTCGTGTGGTGTGGTGTGGTGTCATGTCGTGTGGTGTCATGTCGTGTGGTGTGGTGTGGTGTGGTGTCATGTCGTGTGGTGTGGTGTCATGTCGTGTGGTGTGATGTGGTGTCATGTCGTGTGGTGTGGTGTGGTGTCATGTCGTGTGGTGTGGTGTGGTGTCATGTCGTGTGGTGTGGTGTGGTGTCATGTCGTGTGGTGTGGTGTGGTGTCATGTCGTGTGGTGTGGTGTGGTGTCATGTCGTGTGGTGTGGTGTGGTGTCATGTCGTGTGGTGTGGTGTGGTGTCATGTCGTGTGGTGTCATGTCGTGTGGTGTGGTGTCATGTCGTGTGGTGTGGTGTGGTGTCATGTCGTGTGGTGTGGTGTCATGTCGTGTGGTGTCATGTGTGGTGTGGTGTCATGTCGTGTGGTGTCATGTGTGGTGTGGTGTCGTGTGGTGTGGTGTGGTGTCATGTCGTGTGGTGTGGTGTGGTGTCATGTCGTGTGGTGTGGTTTGGTGTCATGTCGTGTGGTGTGGTGTCATGTCGTGTGGTGTGGTGTCATGTCGTGTGGTGTGGTGTGGTGTCATGTCGTGTGGTGTGGTGTCATGTCGTGTGGTGTGGTGTCATGTCGTGTGGTGTGGTTTGGTGTCATGTCGTGTGGTGTGGTTTGGTGTCATGTCGTGTGGTGTGGTGTGGTGTCATGTCGTGTGGTGTGGTGTGGTGTGGTGTCATGTCGTGTGGTGTGGTGTGGTGTCATGTCGTGTGGTGTCATGTCGTGTGGTGTGGTGTCATGTGGTGTGATGTGGTGTCATGTCGTGTGGTGTGATGTGGTGTCATGTCGTGTGGTGTGGTGTCATGTCGTGTGGTGTGGTGTGGTGTCATGTCGTGTGGTGTGGTGTGGTGTGATGTGGTGTGGTGTCATGTCGTGTGGTGTGGTGTGGTGTCATGTCGTGTGGTGTGGTGTGGTGTGGTGTCATGTCATGTCGTGTGGTGTGATGTGGTGTCATGTCGTGTGGTGTGGTGTCATGTCGTGTGGTGTGGTGTCATGTCGTGTGGTGTGGTGTCATGTCGTGTGGTGTGGTGTCATGTCGTGTGGTGTGGTGTGGTGTCATGTCGTGTGGTGTGGTGTGGTGTCATGTCGTGTGGTGTCATGTCGTGTGGTGTGGTGTGGTGTCATGTCGTGTGGTGTCATGTCGTGTGGTGTGGTGTGGTGTCATGTCGTGTGGTGTGGTGTGGTGTCATGTCGTGTGGTGTGGTGTCATGTCGTGTGGTGTGATGTGGTGTCATGTCGTGTGGTGTGGTGTGGTGTCATGTCGTGTGGTGTGGTGTGGTGTCATGTCGTGTGGTGTGGTGTGGTGTCATGTCGTGTGGTGTGGTGTCAAGTAGTCTGGCGTGACGCGGTGTCGTGTACACTGTGCGGTGTCAAAACGGCCCCTACATAACAGCCACGTCAAATTGACCCCGTTAAAAGGGCCAGCGACAAATGGACCCCATCATTTGGGCTCCCGACAAATAGGCTCCAGTCATTACAACTCCTGTCATTTTGGCTCCCGACAAAAGGGCCCCTTTCTATACCGTTTACATCATGTATATCATACATTTACTTTTCTATGCTCGCTTTTAAGCAACAGGTCTTTACTGTGGTAAATTAAACATTATCAAAAATTTTAAATTGGTGAAATGTAGCTGTTACGGGCTCGATTTCTTTGTGCATTGTTGTTGGTTCATGAAAAAAAAAATTCTTTCCCGCCTTTAAAATATGTTATAGTGGCAGTGGATGAAGGACTAACTGGTTACTTTTATACCTATAGTGGTCATACGATTCACTTGTTGGGAGCCATTTTATCGGGAGTCCATTTGTCGGGAGTCCATTTGTCGGGAGCATATGCGTCGCGGGTCAATATGATGGGAGCCCGTTTGACGGGAGCCAGTATGTTGGTGCCCTTTTGACGGTGCTATTTTGAGTGGGCCGTTTTGTCCCGGGCCATTTTGACGGCGTACCCATGTACACATACGTTGACACACACCTACACTTACTCTCTCACACACATTTGGAAGTTTTTAGCCACTAGCCTCAGCGCTTCCACTTTCCCACATTTTCCCACATTTGATCTGACTGCAGCATGAACTTCTAGTTGATATCTGATATAAAAAGATCATTACTTAATTATATATAGTCGAAATGAAGAATGTTGACTGTTACTTGGCATTACAAACTTTTTGTTTTCTGTATCATTTGTGGGAAACTAAAATAAAAAGATTTTGTATTTTGAATGTTGGCGTGTGTCTGTGTAAAGATTTTGTACTTTGAATATTGGCGTGTGTCTGTCCAAAGATTTTGTACTTTGAATATTGATTTGTGTCTGTCCAAAGATTTTGTACTTTGAATATTGGCGTGTGTCTGTGTAAAGATCTTGTACTTTGAATATTGGCGTGTGTCTGTCCAAAGATTTTGTACTTTGAATATTGGCGTGTGTCTGTCCAAAGATTTTGTACTTTGAATATTGGCGTGTGTCTGTCCAAAGATTTTGTACTTTGAATATTGGCGTGTGTCTGTGTAAAGATTTTGTACTTTGAATATTGGCGTGTGTCTGTGTAAAGATTTTGTACTTTGAATATTGGCGTGTGTCTGTCCAAAGATTTTGTACTTTGAATATTGGCGTGTGTCTGGGTAAAGATTTTGTACTTTGAATATTGGCGTGTGTCTGTCCAAAGATTTTGTACTTTGAATATTGGTGTGTGTCTGTGTAAAGATTTTGTACTTTGAATATTGGCGTTTGTCTGTCCAAAGATTTTGTACTTTGAATATTGGCGTTTGTCTGTGTAAAGATTTTGTACTTTGAATATTGGTGTGTGTCTGTGTAAAGATTTTGTACTTTGAATATTGGCGTGTGTCTGTCCAAAGATCTTGTACTTTGAATATTGGCGTGTGTCTGTCCAAAGATCTTGTACTTTGAATATTGGCGTGTGTCTGTCCAAAGATTTTATACTTTGAATATTGGCGTGTGTCTGTGTAAAGATTTTGTACTTTGAATATTGGCGTGTGTCTGTCCAAAGATTTTGTACTTTGAATATTGGCGTGTGTCTGTGTAAAGATTTTGTACTTTGAATATTGACGTGTGTCTGTCCAAAGATTTTGTACTTTGAATATTGGCGTGTGTCTGTCCAAAGATTTTGTACTTTGAATATTGGCGTGTGTCTGTCCAAAGATGTTGTACTTTGAATATTGGTGTGTGTCTGTGTAAAGATTTTGTACTTTGAGTATAGGCGTGTGTCTGTCCCAAGATTGTGTACTTTGAATATTGGCGTGTGTCTGGGTAAAGATTTTGTACTTTGAATATTGGCGTGTGTCTGGGTAAAGATTTTGTACTTTGAATATTGGCGTGTGTCTGTCTGTCCAAAGATTTTGTACTTTGAAAATTGGCGTGTGTCTGTCCAAAGATTTTATACTTTGAATATAGGCGTGTGTCTGTCTAAAGATTAGATCATCATCAGCCAGCCACCTCTCGTACAAAACTTTTATTGATCGAGCGCAAGAAGTTAGCTCCCATGCCCAATTATCACGCTATCAAATCCAGGCCCTGGGAGATTTCTTTCACACCACAAGGTGTCAAATGATGTGTCGCATGATGTGTCATATGATCTGTCATATGATGTGTCATATGATGTGTCACATGATGTGTCATATGATGTGTCACATGACGTGTCATATGATGTTTCATATGATGTGTCATATGATGTGTCATAAGATGTGTCACATGATGTGTCATAAGATGTGTCACATGATGTGTCACATTGATGTGTCATATGATGTGTCACATATTTTACACGATGACAGCTCTTTGATTTTTTGCTACAAATTAAAAACTTCCCAAGTTGCTCACTTTACACCACACCATAACCCCCCCCCCCACTTCCCCACAATTGTAATATAAAAAGAAAAGACTAAAGATTCTGATCACACTATTTCACCTCTCTCACCCACACTGTTTCCCCTCCGTCACCTACACTATCACCTCCCTGACCCACACTATTTCCCCAGTTTGTGGCCCACCCACACTGCCAACAACTGCTGACCTCTATCTGGTACGCCGGCCTGCCGGGGTGGAGAAAGAGGAATGGCGTCATGAAGTTCCTCACTTGCATCGGCCTCATACTCATCCTCCCTCTCATGTCTTTCTACTACCTCATCTTCCCAAGGTCACAGATAGGTCAACTACTTCGCTCTCCGTTCATGAAATTTCTCTACCACAGGTAAGATGGGAGTGAGATGGGAGTGAGGTGGGAGTGAGATGGGAGTGAGATGGGAGTGAGATGGGAGTGAGATAAGAGTGAGATGGGAGTGAGATGGGAGTGAGATGGGAGTGAGATGGGAGTAAGATGGGAGTGAGACGGGAGTGAGATGGGAGTGAGATAAGAGTGAGGTGGGAGTGAGATGGGAGTGAGATGGGAGTAAGATGGGAGTGAGATGGGAGTGAGATAAGAGTAAGATGGGAGTGAGATGGGAGTGAGATAAGAGTGAGATGGGAGTGAGATAAGAGTGAGATGGGAGTAAGATGGGATTGAGATAAAACTAAGATGGGAGTGAGATAAGAGTGAGATGGGAGTGAGATAAGAGTAAGATGGGAGTGAGATGGGAGTGAGATGGGAGTGAGATGGGAGTGAGATGGGAGTGAGATAAGAGTGAGATGGGAGTGAGATAAGAGTGAGATGGGAGTAAGATGGGAGTGAGATGGGAGTGAGATAAGAGTGAGATGGGAGTGAGATGGGAGTGAGATAAGAGTGAGATGGGAGTGAGATAAGAGTGAGATGGGAGTAAGATGGGAGTGAGATAAGAGTGAGATGGGAGTGAGATAAGAGTGAGATGGGAGTGAGATGGGAGTGAGATAAAACTAAGATGGGAGTGAGATAAGAGTGAGATGGGAGTGAGATGGGAGTGAGATGGGAGTGAGATAAGAGTAAGATGGGAGTGAGATGGGAGTGAGATGGGAGTGAGATAGAAGATGGGAGTGAGATAAGAGTGAGATGGGAGTGAGATAAGAGTGAGATGGGAGTAAGATGGGAGTGAGATGGGAGTGAGATGGGAGTGAGATGGGAGTAAGATGGGAGTGAGATGGGAGTAAGATGGGAGTGAGATGGGAGTAAGATGGGAGTGAGATGGGAGTGAGATGGGAGTGAGATAGAAGATGGGAGTGAGATAAGAGTGAGATAAGAGTCAGATAAGAGTGAGATGGGAGTGAGATGGGAGTGAGATGGGAGTGAGATTGGAGTGAGATAAGAGTGAGATGGGAGTGAGATAAGAGTGAGATGGGAGTGAGATGGGAGTGAGATGGGAGTGAGATGGGAGTGAGATTTGAGTGAGATAAGAGTGAGATAAGAGTGAGATGGGAGTGAGATAAGAGTGAGATGGGAGTAAGATGGGAGTGAGATGGGAGTAAGATGGGAGTGAGATGGGAGTAAGATGGGAGTGAGATGGGAGTAAGATGGGAGTGAGATGGGAGTGAGATGGGAGTGAGATGGGAGTGAGATAGAAGATGGGAGTGAGATGGGAGTGAGATAAGAGTCAGATAAGAGTCAGATAAGAGTGAGATGGGAGTGAGATGGGAGTGAGATTGGAGTGAGATAAGAGTGAGATAAGAGTGAGATGGGAGTGAGATAAGAGTGAGATGGGAGTGAGATGGGAGTGAGATGGGAGTGAGATTTGAGTGAGATAAGAGTGAGATAAGAGTGAGATAAGAGTGAGATGGGAGTGAGATAAGAGTGAGATGGGAGTAAGATGGGAGTGAGATGGGAGTAAGATGGGAGTGAGATGGGAGTGAGATGGGAGTAAGATGGGAGTGAGAAAAGTAAGATGGGAGTGAGATGGGAGTGAGATAAGAGTGAGATAAGAGTGAGATAAGAGTGAGATAAGAGTGAGATGGGAGTGAGATGGGAGTAAGATGGGAGTGAGATGGGAGTAAGATGGGAGTGAGATAAGAGTGAGATAAGAGTGAGATGGGAGTGAGATAAGAGTGAGGGGAGTAAGATGGGAGTGATATAAGAGTGAGGTAAGAATGAGATAAGAGTGAGATGGGGGTAAGAGGGGAGTGAAATGGGAGTGAGATGGGAGTGAGATGGGAGTGGGATGGGAGTAAGATGGGAGTGAGATGGGAGTGGGATGGGAGTGAGATAAGAGTGAGATGGGAGTGAGATAAGAGTGAGATGGGAGTGAGATGGGAGTGAAATGGGAGTGAGATGGGAGTAAGATGGGAGTGAGATGGGAGTGAGATGGGAGTGGGATGGGAGTGAGATGGGGGTAAAATAGGAGTGAGATAAAAGTAAGATGGAAGTAAGGTGGGAGTGAGATGGGAGTGAGATGGGAGTGAGATGGGAGTAAGATGGGAGTGAGATGGGAGTGAGATGGGAGTGAGATGGGAGTGAGATGGGAGTAAGAAGGGAGTGAGATGGGAGTGAGATGGGAGTGAGATAAAACTAAGATGGGAGTGAGATGGGAGTGAGATGGGAGTGAGATGGGAGTGAGATGGGAGTGAGATGGGAGTAAGATGGGAGTGAGATGGGAGTAAGATGGGAGTGAGATGGGAGTGAGATGGGAGTGAGATGAGAGTGAGATGGGAGTGAGATAAGAGTAAGATTGGAGTAGATGAGAGTGAGATGGGAGTGAGATGGGAGTGAGATGGGAGTGAGATGGGAGTGAGATGGGAGTGAGATAGAAGATGGGAGTGAGATAAGAGTGAGATGGGAGTGAGATAAGAGTGAGATGGGAGTAAGATGGGAGTGAGATGGGAGTAAGATGGGAGTGAGATGGGAGTAAGATGGAAGTAAGGTGGGAGTGACATGGGAGTGAGATGGGAGTAAGATGGAAGTAAGATGGGAGTGAGATGGGAGTGAGATGGGAGTGAGATGGGAGTAAGATGGGAGTAAGATGGGAGTGAGATGGGAGTGAGATGGGAGTGAGATAGAAGATGGGAGTGAGATGGGAGTGAGATAAGAGTGAGATAAGAGTCAGATAAGAGTGAGATGGGAGTGAGATGGGAGTGAGATGGGAGTGAGATTGGAGTGAGATAAGAGTGAGATACGAGTGAGATGGGAGTGAGATAAGAGTGAGATGGGAGTGAGATGGGAGTGAGATGGGAGTGAGATTTGAGTGAGATAAGAGTGAGATGGGAGTGAGATGGGAGTGAGATGGGAGTAAGATGGGAGTGAGATAAGAGTGAGATAAGAGTGAGATAAGAGTGAGATAAGAGTGAGATAAGAGTGAGATGGGGGTAAGAGGGGAGTAAGAAGGGATTAAGATGGGAGTGAGATGGGAGTAAGATGGGAGTGAGAAAAGTAAGATGGGAGTGAGATGGGAGTGAGATGGAAGATGGGAGTGAGATGGGAGTAAGATGGGAGTGAGATGGGAGTAAGATGGGAGTGAGATGGGAGTGAGATGGGAGTGAGATTGGAGTGAGATAAGAGTGAGATAAGAGTGAGATAAGAGTGAGATGGGAGTGAGATAAGAGTAAGATGGGAGTAAGATGGGAGTGAGATGGGAGTGAGATAAGAGTAAGATGGGAGTAAGATGGAAGTAAGATGGGAGTAAGATGGGAGTGAGATGGGAGTGAGATGGGAGTGAGATGGGAGTGAGATGGGAGTAAGATGGGAGTGAGATGGGAGTAAGATGGGAGTGAGATGGGAGTGAGATGGGAGTAAGATGGGAGTGAGATGGGAGTAAGATGGGAGTGAGATGGGAGTAAGATGGGAGTGAGATAAGAGTGAGATAAGAGTGAGATAAGAGTGAGATGGGAGTGAGATAAGAGTGAGATGGGAGTGAGATGGGAGTGAGATAAGAGTGAGATAAGAATGAGATAAGAGTGAGATGGGGGTAAGAGGGGAGTGAAATGGGAGTGAGATGGGAGTGAGATGGGAGTGGGATGGGAGTAAGATGGGAGTGAGATGGGAGTGGGATGGGAGTGAGATAAGATTGAGATGGGAGTGAGATAAGAGTGAGATGGGAGTGAGATGGGAGTGAGATGGGAGTGAGATGGGATAGAGATGGGAGTAAGATGGGAGTGAGATGGGAGTGAGATGGGAGTGGGATGGGAGTGAGATGGGGGTAAAATGGGAGTGAGATAAAAGTAAGATGGAAGTAAGGTGGGAGTGAGATGGGAGTGAGATGGGAGTGAGATGGGAGTAAGATGGGAGTGAGATGGGAGTGAGATGGGAGTGAGATGGGAGTAAGAAGGGAGTGAGATGGGAGTGAGATGGGAGTGAGATAAAACTAAGATGGGAGTGAGATGGGAGTGAGATGGGAGTGAGATGGGAGTGAGATGGGAGTGAGATGGGAGTGAGATGGGAGTAAGATGGGAGTGAGATGGGAGTAAGATGGGAGTGAGATGGGAGTGAGATGGGAGTGAGATGGGAGTGAGATAGGAGTGAGATGGGAGTGAGATAAGAGTAAGATTGGAGTAGATGAGAGTGAGATGGGAGTGAGATGGGAGTGAGATGGGAGTGAGATGGGAGTGAGATGGGAGTGAGATGGGAGTAAGATGGGAGAGAGATGGGAGTGAGATGGGAGTGAGATGGGAGTAAGATGGGAGTGAGATGGGAGTGAGATGGGAGTAAGATGGGAGTGAGATGGGAGTGAGATGGAAGTAAGATGGGAGTGAGATGGGAGTAAGATGGGAGTGAGATGGGAGTGAGATGGGAGTGAGATGGGGGTAAGAGGGGAGTGAGATGGAAGATAGGAGTAAAATGGGAGTGAGATGGGAGTAAGATGGGAGTGAGATGGGAGTGAGATGGGAGTAAGATGGGAGTGAGATGGGAGTGAGATGGGAGTGAGATGAAAGATGGGAGTGAGATGGGAGTGAGATGAAAGATGGGAGTAAGATGGGAGTGAGATGGGAGTGAGATGAAAGATGGGAGTGAGATGGGAGTGAGATGAAAGATGGGAGTAAGATGGGAGTGAGATGGGAGTAAGAAGGGAGTAAGATGGGAGTGAGATAAAAGTAAGATGGGAGTGAGATGGGAGTGAGATGGGAGTGAGATGGGAGTGAGATGGGAGTGAGATGGGAGTGAGATGGGAGTGAGATAAGAGTAAGATGGGAGTGAGATGGGAGTAAGAAGGGAGTAAGATGGGAGTGAGATAAAAGTAAGATGGGAGTGAGATGGGAGTGCCTTTTCATTCTGTTTCAATTGTTAACATGTGTGATGTATGGTTTATCATGTGATTTGTGGTGAGATATGATGTATCATGTGATGTGATTATGTGATATGATGTAATTATGTGATACTGTCATGTGATGCTGTCATGTGATGTTGTCTTGTGATGTCATATTATGTTATGTGATGTCATGTGATGTGATGTGGTGATGTCATGTGGTGATGTCCTGTGATGTCATGTGATGATGTCACATGGTAATGTCACGTGGTGATGTCACGTGGTGTTATCACGTGATGTCACGTGGTGATGTCATGTGGTGGTGTCACGTGTTGATGTCCCGTGGTGGTGTCATATGGTGATGTCATGTGATGTCACGTGATGTCATGTGATGTCACGTGATGTCATGTGTTGTCATGTGATATCACGTGATGCCACGTGGTGATGTCACGTGATGTCATGTGATGATGTCATGTGATGTCACGTGATGTCATGTGATGATGTCATGTGATGTCACGTGATGTCATGTGATGATGTCATGTGATGTCATGTGATGTCATGTGATGATGTCATGTGATGTCACGTGATGATGTGCTTACAGCGCCAGTTTTGGAGTCTTCCTCTTCCTGTTGGTGTGTGCCTCCACTGACGTCATTAACAGCGTACCCATGAGGGACAGGCTAAGGGGGCCCGAACCCTCGGGGCTGGAGTGGATGATTGTCTTGTGGGTCACAGGTGACCGTCCAGTAGCTCATGTATCACAAGAATGATTGTGGCGGATGTCATGTATCACAAGAATGATTGTGGCGGATGTCATGTATCACAAGAATGATTGTGGCGGATGTCATGTATCACAAGAATGATTGTGGCGGATGTTTGGTTTGTTGAAGGTGTTTGTCAGACTGGCGGTGACCAGAGAAACGTGCTGACCTATGACCTCTTTCCCCCAGGTTTTGTGTGGGCTGAGTGCAAACAGCTGTGGGACGAGGGTCTGAAGGCCTACATCCGCCAGTGGTGGAACTGGCTGGACTTTATCATGCTGTCTCTCTACCTGGCCACCTTCGCCCTCAGGGTCGTCGCTTACTTCCAGGTCAGCCTCGGGGGGGGGGGGGAGGGGGGTGCTGTGTGTCACATGTGTACGCTTCTTGTCTACCTAGAATCAGTTGTAAGATGGTAGCCATGTCTACAGTATTTAGCACAATGTAACCGCACCTGGTAGCTACACCTACACGTGTAGTACAAGGTAGCCACACCTGACTTGGTAGCCACACCTGAGATGGTAGCCACACCTGAAACCTGTCATCTCCTCAGATCGAGTCAGGCAGGTACGGCGACCGGCTGATGGAGCGCAAAGACTGGCCGGTCAATGACCCTACGCTCATCTCTGAAGGCTTGTTTGCAGTTGCCAATGTTTTCAGCTTCGCAAGGATTATCTACCTTTTTCAGGTAAGCTCTGGTTAAGTATAACGTTAGTTAACCAATGTTTAGTTCTGACCAATGGTCTGTTTAGTGTAATGTCTTGTATTAGGGTCCACTATCAACTAGACCAATGGTCTGTTTAGTGTAATGTCCTGTATTACGGTCCACTATCAAATAGAACTCACGCTCAGTCCATTTTTACCAGGCCAACCAACACCTGGGACCTCTACAAATTTCTCTTGGCTGTATGCTAATCGACATCGCCAAATTTCTATTCATCTTCTTCCTCGTCGTGTCGTCGTTTGCTTGCGGTTTGAACCAGCTGTACTGGTACTATCAAAGTACAGCAGACAGCACTGAGGAGGACATGTTTTTCACGTGAGTACTGCGATGGGACGTGAGACAAGAGTTTCTCCCCCTGCCGTCAGATAAAGAGTTTCTCCCCCTGCCGTCAGATAAAGAGTTTCTCCCCCTGCCGTCAGATAAAGAGTTTCTCCCCCTGCCGTCAGATAAAGAGTTTCTCCCCCTGCCGTCAGATAAAGCGTTTCTCCCGCTGCCGTCAGATAAAGAGTTTCTCCCCCTGCCGTCAGATAAAGAGTTTCTCCCCCTGCCGTCAGATAAAGAGTTTCTCCCCCTGCCGTCAGATAAAGAGTTTCTCCCCCTGCCGTCAGGTTGTTCTCGAGCTACGTGACGTTGTTCTGGTCCATGTTCAGCCTGACCACGCCCAGCAAGATGGAGCTGAAGAGCACCCAGGTGTTCACGATGACAGTGGGTGAGCTGATGTTTATGGCCTACCACGCCATGGCCATCATCGTCCTCCTCAACATGCTCATCGCCATGATGTCCAGCTCCTTCCAGGAGATTGAGGTCAGTCTGGGGCGCTAATGTCAACATACTAAAGCCCAGGTAACCCAACATACTAAAGCCCAGGTAACCCAACATACTAAAGCCCAGGTAACCCAACATACTAAAGCCCAGGTAACCCAACATACTAAAGCCCAGGTAACCCAACATACTAAAGCCCAGGTAACCCAACATACCAACCTAAATCTCAGGTAACCCAACATACCAACCTAAATCTCAGGTAACCCAACATACCAACCTAAATCTCAGGTAACCCAACATACCAACCTAAATCTCAGGTAACCCAACATACCAACCTAAATCTCAGGTAACCCAACATACCAACCTAAATCTCAGGTAACCCAACATACCAACCTAAATCTCAGGTAACCCAACATACCAACCTAAATCTCAGGTAACCCAACATACCAACCTAAATCTCAGGTAACCCAACATACCAACCTAAATCTCAGGTAACCCAACATACCAACCTAAATCTCAGGTAACCCAACATACCAACCTAAATCTCAGGTAACCTAACCCAACATACCAACCTAAATCTCAGGTAACCCAACATACCAACCTAAATCTCAGGTAACCCAACATACCAACCTAAATCTCAGGTAACCTAACCCAACATACCAACCTAAATCTCAGGTAACCTAACCCAACATACCAACCTAAATCTCAGGTAACCCAACATACCAACCTAAATCTCACGTAACCTAACCCAATCACCTCCCCACACAGAACCTAACCCAATGCCCATCCCACACAGAACCATGCCGACATGGAGTGGAAGTTTGCTCGCTCTAAGCTGTGGATGGGCTACTTTGACGAGGGCTCCACCCTCCCTGCGCCCTTTAACCTGATCGTCAGCCCCAAGTCCCTCTACTACCTAGTCACGTGGGTGAGGAGCGTTATCTGCAGGCATACGTCACGTGGTGATTCCAGACAGCGTAAGTCGTCGGAAGGAAACATCCGGGTAACTTATTTTGTTTTACAATGGCCTGTCTTTCACGCGCTAATTAGAAATGCATTTCACAACTCAAACTTTGTAAGAACAACAGGGCTATGCGAAAGGAGACCTTTAAAAAATATGTAAACAGAACTCAAAATACCAAAAAAGTTGTAAAGCCTTTTATTTAGTTGACTAAGTTTGTAAGTCCGCAAATCTTAATTTAACCCATTTCCCATTGTCAGATCAAATTCGGCACAGTGGTAGATCTTGCACGACAATGCAAGAATTTTGAATGTTTAATCTAAATAAATAGAAAATGTAATAGTTTTTAAAGACTTGAATTAATATATGCAAGAATAAAAGGGGAGATAAAATAAAAGGGGAGACAACAAGATCCATTTTTAAGACAACCCATCCCTTGATCAGACGACCGGCGAGGGTGAACTGTTGTCACGGCTGATTGATTTCGCGCCCTAGTGTCGAGCAAGAATTGAGTAGGGGAAGATAACTCAACTTTAAAACTGGAAAATAATTCTCACATAAAAACCTTTAAGGAAAAATAATTTTATTATATTCACAAATCACCACAAAAAAAATAATTAAAAAGAATGTACTAGAAAGTAAACAAAAAGTTTAGTTTGGTGTAACTTTACTAAACTATATGCTGGTAAAACTACAAGACTGGGCCCTCACTTATGGGAAACATATTCCCTTAACTGGGGAGTCCATTCATAGGTTTACGTTACATAACATAAACCCTATGTTCAATTTTCATCAGCCCCTGACTTTTATTTTAGTTATACCAGCATATACCAAGGCTACACCAAACTAGATTTATTTTTGCAACCTTTTGTTAAGTATGCAACGTCTCTTTGATTGTTTGTTGGTTTGCAGCAAATCTTGTAACTCAATTATAACCTACTTCTTAATGTAGCGATTTCGTTCAAACTTTCCAGAGAAGTTCCTTTTTGATGACAATATGAGTCTATCTATTTTTAATTTAATTTTAATTAGTCCTTAAAAATTAATTAAATGGTTTCGAAAGAAAGGGGTGATAACAAAATTAAATCCCTCGATAGATTGCTATATTCAATAATAAAAGGGGAGATAACCAGTGTTTCTTCCAGACTTTTTTCTCCGGGGGGGCACTTGAAATTTTCGGGGGGGGGGGGCGGTAAACTTTCTTCGGGGGGACGGACACTGTTAAAAGTATATATTTTCTATAAAAACTATATAAATTTCATTTCGTTCGGGGGGGGGGGGGGTGGTAAAAAAATTTCGGGGGGGGGGGGGGAGGGGCAAAGCCCCCCCCCCCCCTAAGGGATGCCTGGAATAAACTCTGGAGATAACTAGCTAGGCGCGATCATCCTAACTGTCAGCTTAGCTGTGGTTCACGAGAATGTTTACAATCGCAGACCCGGTCAATCTAGTAAAGGCTATTAGGGGCAGATAATAAAAATTTTAACGATTTGAAACTAAGGGAAGGTAACAATATTACAAACTTGCTGTCAACTGTAAAATATGGTCACAGACGGCAGCTTTCACTGGGCAGATAATCGTAGTAACTTGCGCTATTTCTGAATTCGCAAAAAACGCATATGAATTTATTGAATACTAATATTTCGCACTATTACACACATATTGTTTGCCGTTGACTTGGTGCGCAATTTTTTTTCAACGAGATTATTCTATTTTTAAAAGTTAAAGTTATTAAAAATTGATTAAAATCATGTGTATATCCCGAGTTGCCATCCCCCGTAGTGTTGCATCTTGATATTCGAGAAAGTTTAGGGGAGATCACTCCCGCTTTTTAAATTTATGGATGTAGTAAAAGCCTTTTCCGTTAAAAAAAATGTTATATGAGAATTATTTTTACTTTGAAGCAGATAAAATAAATAATGATTTCAATATCGAATTTTTAAATGAAGATTCGAGTAATTAAGACAAAAATTAACAGTTTTAATTGACACTTACTATCCCTGAAGAGGTCCAACTATTAACACTATAAGTACTAAAGTGTATAAGGATAATGTGTTAATGAATTTTCGCAGTCTGCATATAAACACGTCATGACCAGTCGTGCTTTGATTTGTTACGTCACCACATTTTTAGCGGCAACCAATTTGAAATGTTAAACTGACCAATGCTTTTATTGAAGAAAAGAAATGTGTTTTATTTTCAGTTTTTCTTAGTACATTTAAAAGATTGTTTTTATAAAGCTTTTTACATTAGTTTTATTATCAACTTTTTACTAATTATGATTTACCACAAACCCACAGACAAACAGACAGACATTCTGAATGAATTAAAAGCTTAAATAAGTCCGTCCATAAAATAAACAGAAGTGGTGTGAAAGAATGGTTGACATATTTCTTGTTACTAACTTTAATTGATTTCTCTTCTCCCCCCCCCCCCTACTCCCCCACCCCCCACCCCCTCTAGTCAAAGCAAACAGTGGCGCCATCTGAACTGAAGGTGTTCAAGGTAATTTAAAAATTTCCCCACTGGATCTCTATACAACATAAGTTGGGTTGGGTGGCACTGTTTACATTGTTTTAGTCATGGTATTGACCTCTGCCTTGAGACAATTGTAAATTTTGTTTTTGTTTCATTTGTTTTGAGCCAGACTAAACAGAGCGCCGAGCTGTACAGTGAAGCCCAAGTTGTAAGTAAGCTTTGATCCGTACATATTGTGCGTTTGTTTTTGTGTTGTTTTTATTTGTTGTGCATGTGTTGTTCTTTAAGCTAATTTTAGTTTTATCACAATAAATATTTCTTAAGTTAAGTTCTGATCACGGTATGTCAGTGGCGTCACAAGGTCGGGTGTCACCCAGTGCGGCGTCTAATGGTGTACCCCCCCCCCGGGAAATTTTTTTTATATATAAGCCTATATATCTAATATATAAAGCTCAGTTCTGTATGTAACGCATATGTTTGTCGTTGGTCTTGGATGGATTTAAGTGTTAGACAATTATCGTGCGCATTTGTCTAAATTTATGAGTTAAAAAATTACTATTGAAAGTGTTGGGAAATAATTTTCATTTTTCAAATTAAAGTAATAATTGTCGGCATGTTCATTAAACACAAATTTTTAAAAAATATCATCTTTTACAAAAATTCTAATTATGTCTTTATTTAGTCCTATAGCACTTACTTCCCTTTGATAAATTAGGAAAACACAATTACTTCCCTTTATAAAACCATTGCATTTTGTGGAAAAGAATTTACTTTTTAATTACTTTGTTTTGGTGTTGGTAAAAAAAAAATAATTACATAATTAGCGGGGATTGATCAAGTGCAAATGTTGTAGGTATTTTACGGATAAGCTTGGAGTATTAAAATTGTTCATTAAATTGAAACAGGCGCGTTCGTTTAAGTGAGTGCAAAAGACTATGAATAAGTTGGGGTACTATAGTCGTTCATTAAGGGGATAGGCTCCCGAAAAAAACGGAGAAAAAAACTTTTTAAGTAATACGCCTTTTTCATTTATTTGTGTATGTATAAGTTAGGGTACTTAAGGAAAAATATTTGGATGTACCAGGGACTCTTCTGAAAATATGGTTGCCATGGAAACGGCGGCCATCTTGGAAAAACTACCTTTTGTGGAGTTCTAAAATTTCCTAAAGTAACATATAAACCGCCCATATAATCATTGATCTTTATTGTACTAACACCAATAGAGTCAGCTGGCTAATTTCTGTAACCAAAAAACAGCTAGAAATATTTTTTTCAAATTTTCAAAAAAATATGTAGTGAAATTCCATTGAATTTAGCATTATTTTCATTGGAATTTCGTCACACCAAACTTTGAAAATTAAAAAAAAATATTTCTAGAGTGATTTCTGTTACAAAAACTAGCCAGCTGACTCTATTAGCGTTAGTACAAGAAGGATCAATGGTTATATAGCCGATATTTATGTTAGTTTATGAAATTTTAGAACTCCAGAAAATGATGTTTTTTTCAAGATGGCCGCCGTTGCCATGGCAACCATATTTTCAAAAAAGTCCCTGATGCATGGAAATATTTTCCTTCAAGTACCCTAAGTTGGATATACACAAATGAATCAATAAAAGGTTTTACTTAAGAAGTTGGTTTTTTCTGGAGCCTACCCCCTTAAGCTAAAACAGGTGATTCCGTCCCGGGCGTTTATGTTCGCGTTAGTGTTTTCTTTGTGTTTAGGTGGGTTTGCGTTAGTGCAGTGGTTCCCAACCTTTTTTGAGTGGCGACCCCCTTTTATAAAAAGTAAGTGACCCACGACCCCTATAGAAATAAAAAGCCGAAATTAGTATGGAAATTAATAAGCACTAAAATAAGATTTTCTGGTAGACTTTCAATATGAACTACTCTTGATAACTGTTTTAATAGCATGAGTGAAATTGCATACTATTCACTAAACCTTCGTGGTTAAGTTTTTAATTTTAAAAAATTGTTAACGCCAACCTATGTCATTATAATCATCTTAATTTTGGTTTTAATCGAAGAATAGTGTTGAAAATATATTCTCGAAAAGTCAATCAATTTTACGTTTGGGTATGAATGGTGAATACCACACCAAAGTTGTGTCTGCAGTTTTTCATTTTACTCGGAATAATTCTGCAAATCAAAGAATTCATCTTGTAATTCAAGATTCAAGATGCCCAGAAATTGCTTCTTTCAAAATTTTAAGTTACTCACAATCAGATTCATCTACCACACCGCAGAGTTTCTTGAAATTTACAATATTTCCAAGATTTATTTTTTTTACCGATTTTGCAGCTTTGATAAAAATGCCCCGAGATTATCATGGAAAGTTATAATATTCGTTCATTTTCCCTGATGCTTCAGGTTAAGCTTATCTTGCTGTTCGAACACATCTGCTAGGTATGATACTCTCTCCAACCACTCTATGTCGTTTTAAGTATACCAAATAGTCTTGTTTCCTTTGCACTTCCAAGAACAATTTTATTCCAGATTTCAATTCAAAAACACAATTTACAACATTTCGTTTGACAGCCAGCGTACTGTAGTGTAGAAGAGCAGAACCTCGTGATCTATATTAATGTTTTTACTCAGTTCTTTGAAGGCTCCAGATTTTATATAATTAACGACTTGTACTAGCAATGGACTCTTGATGTCGATTGGTTAGGGCAGTGGTTAGGGAGCTAAATCTTTTCTGTTTTCTGAAAGCCCGATTTTGAGCTAAACAAAGATGGCGCACCATCCGTACAAACCCCACAGCCGCTCTAACCCATTTTAATCATCCAGTTTAAAAAAAAAGGTATTTATTTTCTCCATGCTATCTTCATAAAAGAGTAACTCTTCTTTGCTATCATCCGCATGAATATAGACACAGACCAACAACTGCGAACACGAACTCACGTCTGTTGATTTATCAACTTGAAAAGCAAACAATGGTGAAAGCTTAATTTCAATAAAAATGTGTTATTTAACATTTACGTACACGCAGCGTTTGATGAGATTTTCTCCTTTTTTTTTTTTTTTTTTGCTTGCCATTTTCTATCGCGACTTCATTTGATGCTTGCACTAATGCTGGTGAAAACTTCCTGTTCGATCAAGTCTCTGGCGTTTGCAACTAGCTTCTTACCGACGAAAGAACTCCATATAATTTTTGGTGTGTTCCGAATGACTCGTCTCAAATGACGTTTTAGTTTTGAAGATTTCATAGATTCGTGACTGAGAACAACTTTGTACAGTGCGATTTGCTTCTTCTCTATTACATTTCCAGTGATGCTAATGAAGCCGAATTTCAAAAATTATTCTAAATATTTATGTTTTGTTTCAAATTACTAAGGTTTAGTATACCAGTTGGCGACCCCCCAGAAAGACCTTCGCGACCCCCAGGGGGGTTGCGACCCCCAGGTTGGGAACCCGTGCGTTAGTGGTTGCGTTTTGATTTGGTTCGTTTTTGTTCTTTCTTTTTTCGTTTTTGTTTGTGTTTTTTTGTTTGGGTTTGTATTTGTGTTTTTGGTTGGTTTTGCGTTTGGATTTGGTTTGTTTTCGTTTGCTTTTTCGTTGTTTTTTTTGTTTTTTTTTGTTGGTATTGGTGTTTGTGGTTGGGTTTGTTGTTAGGTTTTTGTTTTCGTTTGCTTTTTTGTTTGTTTTTTCTTTGTGTTTGTATTGGTGTTTGTGGTTGTGGTTGGGTTTGTTGTTAGGTTTTTGTTTTCGTTTGTATTTGTAATTATGTTAGCGTTATGTTTGCGTTTTGTTGTTTTGGTTGGTTGTGGTTTGGGTGGGCAATGCCGGGTTTATGATGATTACTAAACACACAGGTAATGGTCTTTAACAGAAAGGTTTTTCACAGAAGCCAGAGCAGGGCCTGGCCGGGACGGCTAGTATATATATATATATATATATATATATATATATATATATATATATATATATATATATATATATACTAGCTGCATCCCGTGCTCCGCCACGGTAAATCTTTTTAAAATATACCAACTTTGGAACAGAACAAAACAAACAAAAACACAACACAAACACAAACACAAACAAACCACAACACAACCACATTACAACCACAACACAATCACAACACAACCACAACACAACCACAACCACAACACAACCACAAAACAACCACAACACAACCACAACACAACCACAACACAACCACAACACACGGTAAATCTTTTTTAAATGTACCAAGTTGGGAACAGAACAAAACTAAATACAACACAAACGAACGCAAAGAAAAAACAAAAACGAAAAAACAAACACAACACTCAACATAAACTCAATTTAAATGTAATCATAAAGGCATATTGCTCACAGTCTATCCCGTAGCGCCAAATCGCGCCCTTTCCGAGCGCCGGCGGAAAATTTCGATTTACACCCTCCCACCTCCCTCAAACTTTCGATTTCCACCCTCCCCCCCCCCCCCCTCTTGCTACGCCTCTGTTATAAAACCCCTAGCTTTTCCGCAAATAAATTAAAGGCAGTATTTAGAATATCCGTGTTTTACCGACCATATTGCACTTTATAAATTCATGCATTTTTTTCAGTACTTTTTAAAATTTACAATAAAGTTTCATGACTAAAACCATTGCGCACCTAATGAACGTGATGACTTAATATAGTAATGGAGAATAGTTGATTAAAAATTATAATTAGTAAACAGTACATTCAGTGAATAAAATAAATAAAAGATAGCCTTTTATCAATCAATGCTAATAATAATATTCCAACAATAATGTACTCTTACACGTCTGCATAATTTGCATTCACATTTTGCTAATTATATTATTCCAACAATTATTCCGTCTTGCAGATTTTGCATTCACATTTTTAGCGTGAGTTCAATTTATCTTTGAATTACCTCCATTGGCAAAATTACTAAGCAGTTTAATTAGATTTTTCTACCCTACTGTTATTATGTTATTAATATGTATCCACTCTTTCTGGGAATATTAACGAAAACGATATTTGACATTGATCCTTTTAATATGTTTTAGCAATGTGCGTGTATTTAATATTCTCTTTACGTTATGCAAAATTGTACAAACAGTAGAAATTATAAAATAGCTCTATGCCGTTATATAAACAAACCCTACTCAATTACTTATAATAAGACACTGCGGTGCACTGAAAAGCACAGCTTGGTGCGTAGTTTACTTTTATAGTCCCAAAATCTATAGCGATGACGGACGGAAGGACAG